GATCTATCAGGCAGCACCGCCATTCAGGATCTCTCAGTCCCATCTCACATTCTTATCACTGACGCTGGTAAGCTCCACAGGCTGCGATGTTGTCTTGCTTCAGTTGTATCACATGATGGGAAGCCCGTTTTAGTCGGCTGGGAATTATGAGTCGGGAAAGTTGGGTGGATCCCGACACTCCAGCTCTCCGCTGCAACATGGCTCGAATTCGATCCGAGCTCGGCGGAATCTCATTCCCAGTCTTGATTGCTGCAGTGGATGAAGTATCTGGACTGTTTGTGAGGGTTCCGAGGGCAACGGATGCATGTCTTTGCTTCAAAGATGTGATCGATGACTGTTGTTGGGCGGTGTCCGAGACGCGAAGAGATGTGGTCCGTTTCGCGACTTCTTTGTTTTTCCCACAGATTACTCATCGATTATGTGGGCACAGCTGTTTTGAACTTCTCGTGTCACCATCCCGCTGAGTGCAGATTCGGCATTGTTCCGAAGCTGACAGCGCCATTCCTCTGGACCTTTTCGATCATCGCTGTGGTACACACGCGGCACGAGGTATATTCAGATTGATGTGCGATCTTCTGCGTGTCTGTCTGAGCATGGGAACCATAAGTAGGGCGGAGTGCGCGCCAGGGTAGATCTGTCTCACTACGTCTGAGGTCCAAACCCTGAGGGGCAAGCTCAGTGCATTGTCGACAAGTGGTGAGACTCGGGATCCCAGATTTACATAGCATAAGGTCTTTCATTTACTAGCGACATGGATCTCACCTACCAGAAGAAGACTGGCAGCCTCGTTCCACCTCCACTGGACCTTACAGGTTGGATCCGGCCCTCAGACGGCTTCGACAAATCGGATTTCTCCTGTCTTAGATGCGGGGTGCATGACCTCTTCGTCCATCGGCAAACGGCAAGTGAGATGCAAATCTATTTGATCACAACCAATGATAAAGGAACAGCGGCTATGGACAGCAGATCCTTGAGCCTTCTCATGCAGACTCAATCTTCCTCCAAAGTGTTTTTGCCATTGGTTCTGATGGTCGTCCTGGACTCGATATATTTTCGGAACATCTACGGTTGAGTAAAAACATAGTGTTCAAATGTCTAAAAATTGGTTGACTATGTCTTCAAATTTTCAGGCATGGCCTAGGATATGGTATTGAATGGGTATCCAAGATTGCTTCAGGTGGGTGAAAGCTTGAGGGTAAGCGGCAGTTAGAACCACCGCTGCTGCACTAACCTCCTCCCTCCCTCCCTCCCCCTCGTGACGACATAGTTTTAATACAAAACATGGATAATGTAACCTCGAATGTGGTTGATAACTTCCCTATGTTTACAATGATCGCCTCTAACTGAACTAGCTTAGAGAAGAAGCTTACTGGTGGCAACCCTCTTGATTGTCGGTTGACCTGTGTGGGGATTTGCAAGATATGGTCTGGCTCTGCTCACCCAGCTCTCTCAACTCTCGACTAGAAGCCGTTTAACGATCTGCAGAATTGCTGATTCTCACGCTGGTCGACGCTGTCAGTGCTAATCAGACAATTGCAACATGTTCAGGCATCTCCACTCTTCTATTACTCACAGCAAGCATTGCGTGTTATCACACACACGAACGGTGATACTTGTGCGTCAGATGCTTACTTATCCACTCCCTAGAACTCCAGAAAAACTCCAGAAAACTGCAGGACTGAAGCAGGAATTCATACTGCGTGCAATCCAATCATAGAAAACTAAAAGCTTTCTGCAAATCAGATTGCAGGGATGACTCAATTGGGATCTGACAGCATGAAACGGTGAAACTAGGAAGTCACAGCGCTTCTTTGGATTCATTCTGACAGTGTGCCATTTCGTGGTTTTGAGAATGGTGCACAGGGTTAACCCAAAGCAGTATTATTCTTGTTTGTCACAAAAAGGTTGTCTACGCCTGTTGTTTAAGTGATCAGCTTCATCGTTCAGTCCAAATTCCATAATGAAGCACTGCAGCACCAAAAACATACAGAGTATTTTATTTTTTAAATGGTCTTGATCATCATTTGTGTATGTTCATAGTGGTGATAACAGCAGAAACATTTTTATTTTTATTTCTTATTTTTTGAATATAAGATATTCATTGTTTATATGCTAGATTCTATTTGGGCAGAGTTGGAAATTTTATGGTTGGGATTTGAACTATCAATCGCTCATTATTAATTCGCCATTCTTAAATATTTGATGTCAATTACAACAAACTTTGAAATCTTAGAAAAATATTTTAGCAACAACAATATGGAATCTTTTAAATAAAAATCAAACTTAAAAATGATAGCATTAAACAAACTTTGAAAATCAAACTTAAAAATGATAGCATTTAACAACATAGGGAATGACATTGTATAAATTCTATTTTAAAACAATCTTTTGGATAATACATTTTTAGGCACTTTAGTTCAATTGTGTTTTTAAACAATACAGTTAATCAAATCTGTAGTTAAAGAGAAAAGAAAAAAATGAAACAAACATAGTAAGTAAGCTCTTTAAACTATAGCATGGTTATTTTTTAAAATATTTAAAGTATGTTTATTACAGTAGAAGTTTTTCATGTACTTGTAAACCCTAAGAAACTGAAATAATTAAATGACTTTCAAGTATGATAAATTTATATTAGATTGAATGCTATCATTTTTAAGTTTAATTTTTTTAATGTTGTAATGCTCAAATAAAAACATGATATAATTATAAAAAGTAATTAACAAGTAGTAAGGAATTTGTAAACATTAGAACATTTTGGCTTTTTCATATATATATACATCAAATAATATTAAAAAATATTTAATTTTGAGTTACATTGTCTTGCCATTTCTCAAAATTTTAAAATAAATATTCATAATGTAAAATAACAATAATATCACAATTCTTTTCTAGAACAATGTATTATAATATCACCATTAAAAACAAAACATGGCAACATAATTTTAAATATATGTACGTGTTAAAAAAATAAATTAATTTGATCTAATAAAATAAAATAAAAATTACAAAAATAGTTTAAAAGAAAAATAATAATTATTTAAATAAAGCAACAAAATGAATGATTTTGATAAAAAAATTGAATTCAAAATTATAATGTGTGTTTTGTTTGTTTGTAGTTTTGTATTTTTTGTACAATGCAAATTGAAAAAATACAAACATTATTCCAAACTTTCTCTGTGGTTTAACATGACAACAACTTACACAGAACATAGTTATACTATATTATCATGAATCTCTTTTGCTTCTTCTATTGTACTTTTTCAAAGATGTCTAATTTTATGATTTCTGGATATTATTTATTAACTCCTTTATGTATTCTAAATCACATAAATATATATATATATATATATATGTATATATATGGATTCATTTTTCGCTCATCACCAAACTCTACGTCCGCTTCAACCTAAAACTTTACCCTCCTGAATTGCACCACTGGTGTGTGTGTGTGTTTGTTTTTGGGGGCCATGAAAACTGACCCACAAGACCGATTCCGGACTGGGAACTTAACAAGGATTTGACCCTCCTTCTGTGTCGACACAGTATCCTTGACTTACAAAAACAAACCCCCTTCCGACCCCATCTCTGGTATCTAGAACTCATACTGCACAGGCAACCACACACTCAACTGAAGGTATGGGAAACAACGAGTCCAGATTCCAGGCAGCACTTGCTGCACCCAGGGAGGGAAAGCATTGATGATGATGCCAGTCAAAGCAGACGCGCAAATTCAGGCGAGTCTCGCTGCGAGGCAGCAAACGAGAGCTTCGGTCGTCGATGTGTAAACAGTGTCTTGGATGGGGGGGGGGGAGTTCAGGCCCTGTCAGAAAGGTCTGCCGAGTGCACTAGAGTGTTGCCATTACGATGAAGATCGTCTATTGAAGCTCCTATCAGATTTCGGAGGACAATAACTGCTCTGCCTTGGTTACTTTTTATTATTGTTATTATTTTTTTTTTCTGTTTTTTGTAGTTTAGTTCAGTTTAATATATATCTTTTTTCGCCACTGGTGTGGTGAGAGGGCTTTGTTTGCTCAGAGTACAAACCGGAACAATACAAATGGGCTTTCGCTTCCTCCGAGGTCAAAGACAAGGGGGGATTAGATGAGATGGTGGGAAAAAATATCTGCTTGGCTGCAGCGCTGTCCCCACCATCTGACACGCCTGGTTCCAGAGACCAAGGGCACTGCACAACCCTACGATTTGATTGCTTTGCATTCGAACAACACTACACGCGCAGTTATGGAGCAAGCCGAGCAATCAGGCTGCTGACTGTGCCACCCCCCTTCCAGCAGATTAGAAGCAAAGCTGACAGACCAGGGGCCAGAAGTGGGTGTGTATTTTTATTTCCCCAAACTTGACTCGCAACTTGTGGTAGCTGGGTAAAATGATTTTGGGTTTTCTGGAAATAGAAACCATGGCGGAGCTAAGAAACGGGCTAAAAGACAAGGACTACGTGACATTGGGCTGTCATGAGAAAGCCACAACCGACGGCGTTTACCATGTTTGGTGACAAGCCAGTAGTCCACGAAACTATTGTTTATGAAAAATAGTTCGATCTGCATAATTTTACTCTTGTTGCTGCCTAAAAGCTTTATCAGTTTGATGGTTGGACAGGAGATTTCGAGATTTGCTACCTCTTGCTCCCAAAAACAAGCAGAAATGCATTAAGTGTACCCAAACTAATGCGAATTGTCGTTTTTTGAATGAATTCTTTTGAAGCCGCATCAGAGGTGAAAATTACTAGAGAATCAGGCTTTTGCACGAAGGGTCCCATCAATATGATACACAATGCGCACACCGTGAGAAAGCCGACGAAATTAAAGGGAAAAAATAATTACAACTGTGTCATGCAAACTTTTTCGCCAAGAACCGCCCTTCAGATTTACAAGCCTGGAGAGATTTAGGGGTCATCTGATCCAAGAATAGAAACACGGGGGCTCCATCAGCCTTTGAATGACGCTGCGACATCCATCCACGAATGAGTGCAGGGGTGCCCTGTCCGCGCTACTGTTTTGTGCGAGTTAGAATTCAAGTCCATAATAATGGTGTCGCGTAAGCTAGCATGTGTGGGCTTGCGCATGAGCAACAAGATGACAGTGTGAGAGGGCAATTGATCACGCTGGAACGGATAACTGGGGAGTCCATAGTATCAACTTGGTGGCACCTGGCCGAGACCATCACGCCTCAAGTTCGGCAAGCTGGAGCTCGGTCTTCACACGCAGCGGACCAGGTTTAGGAGATCTTCAGGAGGGGCGAAAATAGCAACGGCCATCTCTCAGTTCCAGAGCGAATAACGGAGCGAGAGTCAGAGAAGCCACTTCCGAGTCCCTAGGAATCGTGACATCCATCTCCGACTGCAGGCTATTCATTCTAGGATTTCTTAGCTGGGCGAGGGAGTTTTTCGAATGCAGGGCTCGCTGCCTCTGCCGATTGATTGTTGTTGGGAGAAGTGAGTCCCAAGGCGCTAGAGCGTAGATCCGTGAGTCAGTGCCAGGGGAGGTCGCAGCCGTCCCGCACTTCGGTACATCTCTCAGGTTCGCCTGGTTCTGACATTCTCCCGACTTTTTATGGATCTTGTCTGGAAGATGACAGGAATGCCATCTTTCTTCTGCTGCGGAGCTCATCGTTGTTTTTGTTTTACTTTTGTTTTCGACTGATGTAGGTTGTGTACTCTCTGAATCGTCCCCACGTAGAATCTGCGTTCTCGTGTAGTTGGGCTTCGGAAATGTCTACAAAGCTACTCGAATGCCTTCTGCTGGAATCTGCATCCCGTGTCGAGATTTGCCGTGTGCGAACCCTCCTCACATTCGTGTGAATGTTTGGTCAGGAATGTGCCCCTCTCTTTCACCTCCCCGTGCTGCTACTCTAGGCTTAAGACCTATCACAACCATTTAGTATTCTCCACGCAGTGTGCAAGCCTTCGTCTTGCCTGATAAGTTCACTGGCGCACGTTTAGCTCGTCTCGCTCTCTCCATCAATCTCCGCTTGAAGCACTAGGGACCTGTTATTTGTCTGGCGCAAACAGAGATTCGTTGTCATTGCTGTCAAGCTCTTGCGATGTGTACCACATAAAATGAACAAGTTATTGTCCCCTCACCCCTGCCTGTTCTTTTCGGCGTTGTATTGCTGTGCGTTTAAGTTCTTTGGAGTCTTCGATTATTGTTTCAGCTGGCTTCCCTGATTGCTTAAGTAAAATCTGGTAGAATTCTGAACTCGTAAATTTTGAGAGTGAGAAAATCGCATTGAACCATAGTAGCCTCTCATCGAAGATTGCAGTAAAGCTACAGCTTCGATCTGGTTGGATTGTTTAGTGAATACACTGGAAATGGAAGATCCAATTCTACTAGAATCCGTTGTTGCCACTCAGTTGCGGTCGAGGTATAGCTCTTACCCGGGCGATTAGTAGTCTGCATTTTGGCGGTAATGATGTACTTTGAGGGTGCGAATTCTTGTGTTCACATCAGTCGAGCTGTCGTTACCACTCGGAAAACGTATCAGCCAGTGTATAGTTTATGACCTAAAACCAAATTCGCAGGACCATGTATGAGCAACACCCAACATAGATGCGTCCTGTCACAAATCACAGTATGAAGGTGGAAGCTTCTCAGATTCTTGGCAACAATCCCTAACTTGAAGATCGGGTCCTCTTGGTTTGCAACGGATCGCTGCACGTCACAGGATGCAATACTTGGAGCGCGACGACCTAATATCCTGAGATATGTTGGCCTGAAATTGCATTGGATCCGATTGGAGGTTTCGGTCTTGACGGTGGTTTCCAATGATCTTGTGCTTAGGGGGGGTAATTTGGCGAACGGGCACGGGTGCACTAGAGCGAGGAGGGCATTGCCCCAGCTCACGCACTCATTGACAGGCGAAGTGGGGGTCTTCCCACGTTAATAATTCCTCCACAGCCCCTTCTCAAGATTATGCCTCCGTCTACAGTGCAAGATGACTTTCCGTCCACACCCGGCAAAGTTGGTTCAACGTTGCACTGTAGACGCAATAGCATAGACTCTTTACCTGAAGATCCTGTGCAGCCGGTAAAATCCTCGAATATCCAGGACCCAAACTTTACATTATTGCGCAACTTGCCTTGTCGGTAGATCCGAATGAACTTGGAATGACTCAATCGCTTTGATGGTTGGGAAATTCTTAGACAAGGGATCTAGCAGAGCAGAGATCAGTTGGTAATGGTCGTGAAACTTGGCGTCGTTTGTATCAACGTTTTGAGGATTGCTGCGTTCGTGATGTGCAGGTGAAGATGGACAAGGGCAACTACTTCGGACGGGTGACATCAAGATGGCATTCAAGTGCGTTGGCAAAGCTGCTCTGCATCACTTCCATTCTTCTTGCATTGACAGTGTCTGTGTTCCTATGGATGAGCTTGCCGAGGGGTAGCCAAGGTTATGGAAGCCTCAAGGTGCAGGTTTTCCAGCGCAATCATGAATGGGAGAGAAAGGTTATCCATTCAGGTTCTCCCAATCGAAATGACAATGCGCTGACTGTGTTGGTCACGGGGGCCGCGGGTTTCGTCGGCACTCACGTCTCCCTGGCCTTGAAGAAGCGAGGTGACGGGGTTGTAGGACTCGACAACTTCAACAGTTACTACGAGGTGTCTCTGAAACGAGCTCGACAGGAGCTTCTCAACAAGCATGGCGTGTTCGTTGTCGAAGGTGACATCAACGACAAGTTCCTTATCGAAAGCCTCTTCGATGTTGTCCAATTCACGCATGTAATGCATCTGGCGGCTCAAGCCGGTGTGCGGTATGCTATGCAAAATCCCCAATCCTACATTCACAGCAACATCGCAGGATTGGTGAATATCTTTGAGGTTTGCAAGGCCACTAATCCACAGCCGGCCATCGTTTGGGCTTCTTCAAGCTCTGTATATGGACTTAACACCAAGGTATGCACACAATTCACCAGCTCTGAGCACAACTCTTAGTATCTGTCAAAGATGGCATCACCGACAGATGTCATAGGGTTTATCCTCACGATTCCTTCCGTTTCGCTTGCAGGTACCCTTCTCCGAGGCCGATCGAACAGATCAACCCGCGAGCTTGTACGCAGCTACAAAGAAAGCAGGAGAAGAGATCGCTCATACATACAACCACATCTACGGTCTCTCTATCACGGGACTCAGGTTCTTCACCGTCTACGGGCCATGGGGGCGACCCGACATGGCGTACTTCTCCTTCACCCGCGACATCCTGAAGGGAAAGCCGATCAGCATCTACTCGGGCGCGGGAGGCAAAGACCTTGCTCGCGATTTCACCTACATCGACGACATCGTGAAGGGATGCGTTGCCTCGTTGGACACAGCCGAGAAGAGCACAGGCAGCGGCGGCAAGAAGTCCGGTCCGGCCATGCTGCGCGTTTTCAACCTGGGCAACACATCCCCAGTCACCGTCCCTACACTCGTCGACATCCTCGAGAAATACCTCAAAGTGAAAGCCAAGCGTGAGACCATCAAAATGCCTCGCAACGGCGACGTCCCATTCACGCACGCCAACATCTCGTCCGCCGAATTGCAGCTCCACTACAAACCTGTCACGAACCTCGACACGGGATTGAAGAAGTTTGTAAAATGGTATCTCAGCTATTACGGTGACAGTTCCAATCGAAAGTTGTGGCCGGGAAACAATGAGCAAACACTGTAGACTAACATGAGTTTTGCGAGTCATCGTTTTCAATCCCATCTTCCAGTCACGTAATATCTAGCAATAGGGAATCCGTCCGTTGTCTGAGGCAGCAACCCTCGCATGAACTATACTATACTGACACCGCACATTTATACGTTCAATAATCAAACCAAATCACAGGACTCAGTGGGTTCACGTCAGAGACAACGAGTGGGACTCGTTGTGCAATCACTCGCCTCTTAAGTTGTAAATCTATTAGCGGTAGTAACCGAATCTGCTTACCGACACCGAGACCACCTTCAACATGAAGGTTGTACCACCTTCCGGCAATTACTGGCGACCAATCTACCCACATAGCTACTGATCGTCGATCAGACATGTCGATGTCGATCAATTCCACTGAATTCTTACCACTCTATACATAAACCTTCCAAGCTTCGATCACATTTCGATCCTCTAAGCTTCTGCTGTCCTCTCATGTGAAGATTCCATGTCGTAGTATGATTCGTTGGACGCTTAGTATACAACCTTCACACTCAATCAGACACAGCGAAACTCCGGAGTGTGCAGTTCTGTGCATATTCATTTTCACAACACTTGCATTTTGTTTGGTATCACTGTGGTTATCTGCAGATAACTGATTTTTTATTGAATTGGAATGATTCTTTCAAATTCATGTTTTGTCACTTAATTGGAGCTACATGTTTGGATGAAGTGGAAATTGTAAGTCATTGGTAGTTTGGTATGATGTGAATTTTTGATTGTGCTGTGAAGGAGTACGAAACATTTTCAAATTTTCAAAGAAAAACTAACAATGGCAAGGATAGAGTGCACCGTATCACCAAAGTTGCTACAATCTTACCTGTTGCCACTTATTAAATAACATTGGGAAAATAAAATAAATAATGGAAAAATCAAAACAAAAATATTAATGGGTGGGATATTGTAAATTTATGTTAGAATTCAGAATGTATGTATCTAAAAATCTATGAACTATCTTAAAATTATACTTAATACAATTATTTTTAAGAGAACAATGATGAGATATCTTTAAAATAATATGTATATATAAATATAAGCATAAATACTTAAAAGTATATAAGGCGATATAATTTTAATGCTTAGTAAATCATTAATCTAATCAGACTTTTTTTATGAAATATTTTATAATTTAGTTTCATGCTTTAAGTATTTTAGGATTCCCAACAAAGATTGAAGAATATGTGTAGATTTGTGAATAAACCTTATATATGAAAAATATTATTTTATTTTAAAAAACAAATAAATTAAAAATAATAAAATACATAGATTTTTAATCAATAATAAGATATTTAGTCGTCTTTTAGAAGTAAATAAAAACACTATCAAATAAACATTTGATAGGTTTTTAGAAATCATTATTCAAAAAATTAATATTTTTGTTTTGATTTTTCTATTAGAATAATTGAGACTTATAAAAGAATTTTTTTTGGGATTCCTTAAGATCTTAAGAAATATAAAAGATTTAAACTTTGAAGAACTGTATTAGATTTATAAATGATCTACAAGTAAAATTTTGTGATTATGTGACAAGTATTGTTTTAAATATTTTTCATTATTTTTAGCTTGATCTAATGATTTATTCAAAGGTTATTAAAATTAAAAAAATCATGGCTCTTAGAATTGAAATTTAGAGGATCAATGAGGGTTTCTAAAATATAGATTAATTTATATGTTGATTGAATTCAAATATTTTACAAAAGGAGTTGACTTGATTTTGTACAACCTTAAAATTTTTGAAAGCCATTATACTTTGAAATTAAGAGATATTAGAGCTAGGAGATTCACATCAATGTTGGAAAAGGAGGCTGGCCAACATCTAAGCAAATTTTAGGAATTATCTTCTATTTGGTAAGTTTGATCATTTTTAAATTAATTGTGATAATTTTAAATTTTTCATTAATTGAAATATGAAAAAAACTTTATTTAAAATTTATGCTTAAATTATCAATTATTGAGATTTCAATCTCCTATAGGATTGATTATAAACTAATTTAAGGTTAATATTTAATTAGGATTTTATTAAAGTTTAGTTTAGGATTTGATTATGATTTTTTTAGAATTTAGGATTTTTTTGGAATTTGATTTATAATTTAAGATTTGATTAGAGTTGGTTTAAGATTTTATTAGGATTTGATTAGAGTTTCATTAAGATATTTTTGAAATTATATTAAGATTTAGTTGTGATTTATTTAATATTTCTATTTTAAATATTTCTTTAATATTTTATTATTTCTTTAGATTTTCTATTTTATAATTTTTAAAGAGTTTTTTATTATTTATTTATGATTATTTATTAATTTTTTAGAACAATATATATATTTTCTTTAAGATTAACTTATATTTTCTTATTTATTTTTTATAATTTCTTTAAGACTTCTTTCATATATAATTAAAATTTATTTAATATTATTAAGATTTAATTAGAATTTATTTAAGATTCTATTAGAGTTGCTAAGACCTTTTTGTTGTAATTTCTATTTTACCTTTTACAATTAGGTGTTCAATGCATTTTCAAACAAACTTCATGTAATACAACTAATTACAAGAACCTTAAGTATTTTAGGCCATTATGTATTCTTAATTATTGCTAAGCCCATTAAAACATGTCTTTATCTAAATTTGAATTCAAGTTCACTTATCAATTAAAAAAATAATAAGATTTGTCAATTATTATTATAATATATAAAAAGAAAGAGATGCAACTTTTGGTTAACAACAAATAATTCTTTTGAAACTAGAGTAATTTCATCTTTGAGCTTCAGAATCAATACTAAGTGTTGATTGAACTTTTTTTTAAGAAAGTTCAGCTAAGTATGTTTTTAGATCTTCTTGTTCATGATATTATAATCAAATTCTCTAAATCTTATGATATTTCTAAATTTAAATTCAAGAATAATCTATTTTATTTCAAAAGAGGATTATATGTTCTAAAAAACAAAGCATGATAATATGTTCTTTAAGCTTGTCATGATTATCTAACTATATGACATTTTAAATACTACAAGACTTTAGAGTTAATTAATAGAGATTTTTGATGACCTCAAATGTAGAAGGCACTTTAAAAATATTATTCAATCATGAGATGTTTGTTTAACATCAAAACTCCTTATCATTGACCTTATAGACTTCTTCAAGTATTACCAATACTAAAATAACCATGACCTTTTCTTTCAATGGATTTTATTACAAATCTTTTAATCTCAAATTAACACATCTCTATATTTGTGATAGTAGATTATTTTACCAAAATGGTATACTTTTTATTATATACAAAAACTATTACAAGTGAAGAAATAGCTAAACTTTGTTTTAATAATATTTATTATTATCTTAGATTACAAAGAAATATTATATCAAATATAGAGACTTTATTTGTATCAAGGTGTTAAAGATAAGAACTCAACAAAAGTAAATAAACAAGTGAGACTTTCATTAAAGAAAGATGAAAAAATAAAAATAAGAATATATATATATATTCAAAAATGACATAAAATGGCTATTGCCAAAAGATAAGAAAATTAGAGATCCTTAAACTAGGTTAAAAGCAAGAAAGGAGTTGATAAGAGTAAAGAAGGCTTCATTCTTGTTCCTATATATACTATCTAACTAAAAGCTATATAGCAATGTTCTATAGAACCTCCAATATGTGTTTAATTTACAAGATATATGTCTTAACTACTAAAGTAAGTTTCTTATATATTGTCATGTAGTAATACAATTATATAATAAAAAATAAAAATATGGATGTCATTATAGAAGAGCCTTATAAAAAGATGTAATAAAAAAATAATGATAAATGATAGAAAGATAGTAAAAATATCTTAATATTGCCTTTTGTAGAAGAGACTTCTATTTACTTTGTAGAGACTACAAGAGACTTTTATTTATAAATATATATATATATATACATATATATATATATATTTATATTTATAGAGCATTACTTGAAACTCTAGTTTGGACAAGGACTTCTATGAGAGATGGTATGATGGCCATGTTGGGATTCTCTATTAGAGAATTGTGTTAGGTGTCGAATAAGGAGTATATTTAAGGAAGAGTGTTATATGCCCTTTCTCACGTGGATTGTACCATTAGCATGAAGATGACATAAGCTGATTCCTTTGGTAATATCATTTGTTTGGTGCATCAAGTTCTACAGGATTCAATATTGCAATCAAGCAATCTCAACTAATAATCAAAAGAAAATATATCTTGGTTGGATGCTAAGAAGAGGATTATTAGATCGAGCGTTCATGTAGTTTTTGATGTATGTGGAATTCAATTGAGTTTTGACTCCTCTCCAACAATCAATACAACCAACAATATTGTTGGCCTACAACACGTAAATAAAGCGATGCAGAGCTTATGAATCTTGCTCCACCAATTCCATTCTTCATCTAGTATTAACGTAGGGTTGGTGGACACTGACACTATGGTGGAAGTCTACTCACAGCAAAGAAACCACTATAGTTTTTTTTGGCTTGGTGAAGAATTAATCTTGGATGTTAATAGTAGGTTAGATTTGTTTGATTACTCGGATGATTTAGAGAATTTTAAGAATATATTGATCAAGATTTAAATAAGAATTAAAAATTATAAGGTTTTGATAATTAATTCACTTGTAGTGAGCTGAAATTAACTTCCAATTAGTGCAAGTTTATTTTAGCTCATATAAATTTATATTGAAAGATTAATATTTAATTCAAAAAAAAAGTAGCCAATAATTGAGAGGTTTTAAGATCTTTTCTTACTATTGGTATGTGCAATCTTCTTCAAAATTTTTGTGCTTGTTGCTTATTTAGTTATTAAAGTATAAAAGTTTTGAATCAAAGTAATAATTCAATCATTAGTTATTAAATTTTTCATATACTATAATATTATTAAGATTTATTTAACATTTAGGAATTAATTAAGAATTGATTAGAATTGGTTTAAGATCCAAGATTGGTTAGAATTTGATAATGATTTAATTAAGATTTAAGATTTTGTATGGATTTGATTAAGATTTAATTAACATAGATGTCATGGATATATATTTATTATAATTGTTACTTAGGTGATATGAATAGATAGAAGTAGATAAAAATAGATTAATTTTTTAATATCTTCTAAAAAAGCTTCTTAGGAGCTTTATAAATACTACTTTGACTTTACATATGTTTATAGTTGATTGGTAGATTATAAACTTAGTTAATAAGTTAACTATGTACTATACATATTGATAGCTTGTGGAATAAGCTAATTATGTAGCACCTATATAAAAAACTTGCCTTTACAAATTAAGATACATATTGTGCAAAGTCAACACGTTTTGAAGGTCCTATAGAACATCACCACATAGATTTTAGGTAGATAGTATATATAGAGGCAAAAGTGAAGTCTTCTTTACTCTTATAAAAGATTT